ATTCCTGCTTGGTCCTCCAGTTTTTGCATTAATCTCTTGTGTGGTACTGTGTCAAACGCCTTCTTGCAGTCTAAGAAAATGCAATCCACCCACCCCTCTCTCTCTTCTCTTACTGCTGTCACCATGTCATAGAACTCCAGTAGGTTTGTGACACAGGATTTCCCGTCTCTGAAACCTGTGTGTGTGTGTGTGTGTGTGTGTGTGTGTGTGTGTGTGTGTGTGTGTGTGTGTGTGTGTGTGTGTGTGTGTGTGTGTAATGGTTTTCTTTACGAGTGGACTGTGAGGGAAAAAGAGCATAATCAGTTTTCCTTGAGTTTATTGCCAGCAACTGCGATTGTGATCGGCAGGATCAGAGTGATCATAAATAGCACCATCTGTTAGGCATATTTGTCGTTGCCGGTGGAAGACAGCAGCCACATTCACCCATCCATTCTTGGGAACTCAAAACTGCTGACATGACTGTACTGCTTAGTGATCTTATCAAGCGACCAGATACCCTAAAGGCCTTCACACATCGAGAGTTTCCTTCTCTTAGGAATGCTCATGCATGGTAGTGGCTTTCTTTGTGCTTAACATTACATGTAAACTACACATTGTATACTATGCAAAGAAATAAATATTTGAATTAGCCATCGTCTCTGGGAGTAGAGTCTATGATCTTGTCTGACACCAGCCTGCCTGCACCATCTACGTCTGTGGCATCTCCTGAGACCAGCCTGCCTGCACCATCTACGTCTGTGGCATCTCCTGAGACCAGCCTGCCTGCACCATCTACGTCTGTGGCATCTCCTGAGACCAGCCTGCCTGCACCATCTACGTCTGTGGCATCTCCTGAGACCAGCCTGCCTGCACCATCTACGTCTGTGGCATCTCCTGAGACCAGCCTGCCTGCACCGTCTACGTCTGTGGCATCTCCTGAGACCAGCCTGCCTGCACCATCTACGTCTGTGGCATCTCCTGAGACCAGCCTGCCTGCACCATCTACGTCTGTAGCATCTCCTGAGACCAGCCTGCCTGCACCATCTACGTCTGTGGCATCTCCTGAGACCAACTTGCCTGCACCATCTACGTCTGTGGCATCTCCTGAGACCAGCCTGCCTGCACCATCTACGTCTGTGGCATCTCCTGAGACCAGCCTGCCTGCACCATCTACGTCTGTGGCATCTCCTGAGACCAGCCTGCCTGCACCATCTACGTCTGTGGCATCTCCTGAGACCAGCCTGCCTGCACCATCTACGTCTGTGGCATCTCCTGAGACCAGCCTGCCTGCACCATCTACGTCTGTGGCATCTCCTGAGACCAGCCTGCCTGCACCATCTACGTCTGTGGCATCTCCTGAGACCAGCCTGCCTGCATCATCATCTCCTGTGCCACATTCTGACACCAGCCTGCCTGCACCATCTGCTGTGCCACATTCTGACACCAGCCTGCCTGCACCATCTGCTGTGCCACATTCTGACACCAGCCTGCCTGCACCATTTGCTGAGCCACATTCTGACACCAGCCTGCCTGCACCATCTCCTGTGCCACATTCTGACACCAGCCTGCCTGCACCATCTCCTGTGCCACATTCTGACACTAGCCTGCCTGCACCATCTGCTGTGCCACATTCTGACACCAGCCTGCCTGCACCATTTGCTGAGCCACATTCTGACACCAGCCTGCTTGCACCATCTGCTGTGCCACATTCTGACACCAGCCTGCCTGCACCATCTGCTGTGCCACATTCTGACACCAGCCTGCCTGCACCATCTGCTGTGCCACATTCTGACACCAGCCTGCCTGCACCATTTGCTGAGCCACATTCTGACACCAGCCTGCTTGCACCATCTGCTGTGCCACATTCTGACACCAGCCTGCCTGCACCATTTGCTGAGCCACATTCTGACACCAGCCTGCCTGCATCATCTGCTGTGCCACATTCTGACACCAGCCTGCCTGCACCATCTGCTGTGCCACATTCTGACACCAGCCTGCATGCTCCATTTGCTGAGCCACATTCTAACACCAGCCTGCCTGCACCATCTGCTGTGCCACATTCTGACACCAGCCTGCCTGCACCATTTGCTGAGCCACATTCTGACACCAGCCTGCTTGCACCATCTGCTGTGCCACATTCTGACACCAGCCTGCCTGCACCATCTGCTGTGCCACATTCTGACACCAGCCTGCCTGCACAATCTGCTGTGCCACATTCTGACACCAGCCTGCCTGCACCATCTGCTGTGCCACATCCTGACACCAGCCTGCCTGCACCATCTGCTGTGCCACATCCTGACACCAGCCTGCCTGCACCATCTACTGTGCCACACTGACACCAGCCTGCCTGCACCATCTGCTGTGTCACATTCTGACACCAGCCTGCCTGCACCATCTACTTCTCTGTGTTTTCTTCGTTTTATTTTGTTTATTAAATATCTTTGGATTTTTCATTTTCTATGCCTCAATTTGATTATAACCTTTTTATTTTTCCGTACTAGTAATTTTCAGAAAACATTTTCCACGTCATGGACTCACTTGATATACTTTGCTGCTGAAGTTTTTTTTCTCTCAGTTTGTAGAGCCACGACTGTGAATCAGCGTAATTGTCGTTCTTCAGGTACGAAGCTGGATGACTGTGAGATATTATTAGCGAAATCATGAAATTAGTTTTTTTTATGAACTCTTTCGTCATCTTGTCCGAGCAGGTGATAGATCGTCAGATAACGGACGTTCCCCCTCCACTCTCACACCTAGTATAACGTTCCTCGTTCTTCCATCTGTTTATCTGAACTGATAGGATTTTGCTGTGATAGAGGACTTGAAGGGTAACTCGTCTAGAGGAAGCAACACTTCCACAGGTGGAAACGACGCCAGTGTCTGATGTCTGCTGAAGCCGACCGAAACTTTCTTGGAAAGGTGTTGATTGTGTTCAGTTTGATTAGTTCTCAAATTGTGCAGCGGGGGGGCCCATCACACAGCGGGGAACAACGACGCCTCCGACGCTATTACCCTCCGCTATTTTTCGCAGCTATACGGCGTTTTCTTTGCTTCCGATCGCCGTTTTCTGTCGCATCCTTTTAACCTTCGAGTACTGCGGACTTTCAAGCGCGTGATTATTACTATTTTTTTTTTTTTTTACATTTTTTCCTTGTGTTGGTTGTTCACGTAAGCATTCAGAAGAGAAGGAGGATGCCTGCAAGAAATAAAAGGATTAGCAAATTCTTCTACACATTCAGTAGCCTGCTAAGCACCTTAGTTCGAACCCTGGAAGCATTCCTGTGTAATTAGCCATAAGATTAGACGTACTCTGATTTAGAGAGGAAGCTGAGAATATTATTGATTCTTACAGCGGGGAGGCTTTCACATTAATATTGTCTCTTTCTACTTTATTATTCATTATGACTGCATTATCTCTTTTTTTTGTCCTTATTTTTAATCTTATTATACTACATTCCTTTTTTTTGAGTTTTATTATACGTTTACATGTAATATATATATATATATATATATAATATATATATATTATATATATATATATATATATATATATATATATATATATATATATATATATATATATATATATTTCGCCTGCTCTTGCGAATTCCTTGCATTGTTAAAATCTCTAGTAAGGCTGATGCATGCAGGGGATGAGATGAAAAGCTGTAAGCCTTCTCCATGAAAGCTGGCTGCCTTAGATCAACGTCTACCGCAAGCTGAACGCCAAGGTATTGTCCAGTGTGGTGAGAATGGTATAGCACTGCGTACCTGGTTCGTAGGTTCGAGTCTCCTTCAGCCAGAGATCAGTGTTTGTATATATTTCGCGTGCTCTTGCGAATTCCTTGCATATATATATATATATATATATATATATATATATATATATATATATATATATATATATATATATATATATATATATATATATAATTGTGTGTGTGTGAGAGAGAGAGATTCACAGGTAAGTGATTAGTTATAAAAACGACATGTGGAAGAAAAAGAGAATATGTGAGGCCTTTCATCACAAATATGTTGTAAAAAGTCACTCTGTCTGACTTTTTTGGGTTATCCCAGGTTCTCTACACATATGCTGCTATGTATGATAATTCTATGTAACTGTATTTGTGTATACCTGAATAAACTTACTTATTCAGAGGTTCCTCAAAACTAAGGGTACAGCCACTTGCTAGAATCACAAGAATCTAGGAAGTGACTTTCAAAGCAACTAGAAATGACACCAAATAATATGAAGAAGGGACAAACAATATAGAAAATTGGATGAAGTAAATATGAAGTGGCAAACAAAATGCAAGATAATCGGGGCTAATCCAATAAATAAGAGCAAGTCAAGAATAAAGAGGACAGAGGAATGTTAATATTCCTTTACGAGCGAACTATTGAAGGGAGATTCCTTGATACTGGTGAAGGGCTCTTGATTCAAGAAAGTGGATCAGACATGATTGCCTGTCTTTCCAGGCACTGAATCACCTTCACTAATTCAGCGCATCCCAGATTTACTAGGAATTTCAAGGTTAAAATTCAGGTGAATCAAAGAAAGATAAGAGTCAGTTCATTGTTAATTAAATAAGTTACATTATTAGTTTAGGCACAATTGAAAAAAAAAAGCGAAAAGCCAAACCAGTATTTGACAATAAGCTTGAAAACGGATAAATGCCATTTAACACACAAAGGGATGCTGTCCAAAACGCGGGACACACTAAAAATTATATAAGTGCGAAAGACAAACCTATTATATGCAAAATAACTATAATTTTTAAAGGGGTGGAGGGGTAAGCCAGCAGAAGGCCTCGGTCAGATGACCAAAACTTCCAGTGGCGGGTGATCATATGACTTAACCCCCGCGTCAAAAAAAACACTTGTCCTGTTTCTTGACAAACCTTACCTAACATACAAGCATTTTTTTTTTAATTTTCAATGTGTCCCGTAATCCATTTTCTTTGTTTTACTGAAGTTTTCTCTTACACTTACGATCGTAATCCTTTATAAATGTTTGTTGACATTGATCATGGCGTCCAACAGCGGTACAACTCAGATACTCGAGTGAGTAAAACGTCATTAATGTCTTCAGTTCTATAGTTAATGACCCATAGTTACATGCAGTGGTGCATGACGTGTTCAGGAACACAGTGGAGGCTACATTATGTGCAGATATTATGTAATAGAGAGTATAATGACTCGAAGTAGAGAAACTTTGGTTTTTCTTGCCATGAGTTTGGGACCCACCCGATCTGTGATTAGAGGATATAATCTTGTATAATAATAATCTTTATGTCTACAAGTACATTGTATACAGACCGTAGCTGACATATTGTATAGAAATCTAAAAAAAATAGTGTATAGAAATCTTGTTATGCAGAGCATTTCGGACAAATTAAGTTAATTTTGCCCCCAGGATGCTACCCACACCAGTCGACTAACACCCAGGTACCTACTTACTGTTAGGTGAACATGGACAGCAGGTATCTTAAGGAAATGTCCTAATGTTTTCACCCGTACCGGGGATCGAACCAAGGACCTCAGTGTGTGAGTTGAGTGAGCTACCAACCGAACTACAGAATGCTGCTTATCTTAATCTAGCATAATAACATTTATTTGTTTTGGGTGTTTTTGTTCGTTGCTCTTATTAATTGTTAATTTTATCTTTGTTTTTATTGTGTGTTATATAAAATCTTTGCTGATTGACCTATGGTATCAGAGTGCTCCATAGAGATCATTACTACTACCACAATACATTACTCAATTTTTTTTATATCAGTTGCTCAAATATCAAAGCTTTCAGTGATGAGATATTACTTGTAACTGATAAACCTTTTACGCTGAAATCATTATTTTTTGTGTGTGTGTCAATCACACCTATGTACTGAACAGGCACAGTGCACCTCCCAACATGAGAAGTGTATTTATGGGCCACTTTTGGAGGTTTTCTACTCTTTTGACTATAATAAGTATGAAAACAAAACGTTACTGGTTTATAGTAGGTATTGGTTCATTGTAGGTGTTAGTCACTCTATGGATGCAGACGATCGAGGTGTTTTGAATGGGTCAGCTATTACTGTTATGACAGTTGTTGATGAATCCAACTGATGGTCTTTATATCAGGTCTATATAGTATCAGACCTGTATAATATCAGGCCTGTATAATATCAGACCTGTATAATATCAGGCCTGTATAATATCATACCTGTATAATATCAGGCCTGTATAATATCAGACCTGTATAATATCAGGCCTATATAATATCAGACCTGTATAATATCAGACCTGTATAATATCAGACCTGTATAATATCAGACCTGTATAATATCAGGCCTGTATAATATCAGATCTGTATAATATCAGGCCTGTATAACATCAGACCTGTATAATATCAGGCCTGTATAATATCAGGCCTATATAATATCAGACCTGTATAATATCAGGCATGTATAATATCAGGTCTATATAATATCCGAGTATCTATCAAATGGCGAATCTGTAGTTACGTATTTCAGAAGACATCACGCAAAGCAGTTTATCACAGGAAAGCCAATTAGGTCAGGCTACAAAAAACTGGACATAATGTACAAGGGTGTGGAGAGAGGGAGGGGGGGGGTGGAGAGTGGGAGGGGGGTGTGGAGAGAGGGAGGGGGTGTGAAGGGAGGGAAGGAGGAAGGGGGGTGTGGAGACTAGTGTTATAAAGATTGAAAATATTTTATTGAGGAGGTGCTGTTGTACATTGAGTTCACGTGTGGGGTTGTTGACCTCTCTTCCGGTTCTCTCTCCGTCTTCTTGTATCTCTCTTCCAGTTCTCTCTCCATCTCTTCTATCCATCTCGGTTATGTCCTTTGCTCATCCTCCTAATCTCTCCCTTGGCAACTTTCATCTTTTTTCCCCCATATTTTTCACACCTTTTCTCATGCCTTTATCTCCTTCCTTTCCCCATATAGGATAGTTATTTCTGCCTGAAATGCTGTATATAACCAGGGACTTTCTTTAAATTATGTCAGTAATATCAAAAGTTTTGTCCTGAAGCGGGTAAACTATATTCTAGAAATAAACATTTACATTGTTCTTCCCTCCCTCTCCTCTTTTTTATTTCCACTCTCTTTTTTTCACTTGCTTAATCTACCTCCTTCCTCTTCTCTATCTTTTTTGTCTTTGCTCCCACCCTCGCTTCATTCTCTCTCTCCTTCATCTCTCCCTGGGGGTATTACTGATTCCCTCCCTGTCAGACATGGAGGGTCAGGTGGACGCTTTATGGACTATGTTGTGACTCTCTTAATGTGCCTCCACTATTACCTAATTTAACCGGGATAAATACGTTGGCAGCGACTCCTGCAAAGGTAACAGCTTAACGTAATTAACGTGATCAGTCACAGGGCTCGAAACTTGCCTCTCTCGTTTATCTCCAGATTTGATAAGGAAAATAAAGACAGTTTAAGATTTTCTCCTTTTTTTCATGATTTATTCACCGTAACTAGTTTTAGTTACGGTTCAGAGGACGTATTTACACTGAGAAGTGTATGTCTCTTTATTTTATACACACAGAATTGGTTTTTATCCCTGTTTTAGGGATTGTAGTATATCTTGACTGGTGGTGAACAAGTGATATGACCCTCCGTGTAGTTGATAGGTTTCAAACCCCATTAACCAACCTAGTTTGCCTTAAGACTCCTTTTCGTTGGCCGGTTAATGAAGTTTAAAGCCTGTCTACTGCATATCACCTGTGCACCACCAATCTAGAATACTTTAATCCTTAATATTGGGATTAAAGTAAATTTTGTGTACATACCCTGAGAGATATTCACCTCCATGTGTATATACTCTTATGTCCTTTTCATATACGATAGGTTTTGCTTAGAGAATTTATAGGTCTATACAGACATTACCGTAAGCTTGTACAATGGCTTCCAGGACATAGAGGTTGTAGACATCTACTTTTGATGTCATAGAGATTTAACCTAGAAAGCCCAGTTATATCAGTGTGATCCTTCAGATTGGACGCTGTTCATTTGTTCCTTGACCCTGAAATTAAGGCATACAAGCTCGTTCAGGCCTGACTGGTGCTCACTAGATTCATTATAAGTGGTATTAGAACCTTCTTCCTTGCTTCTTCGACTTGGCGATCACAGTACTTATACTTTTCCCGAATCTCTTGATATGTTCTCGTGAAGTTTGAGGTGCGAAATGAAGCTATAACAGCCAAGAGGCAGATGAGTCATAAGGATATTAGGAAGTACTTTTTAAGTCTCAGGGTGGTATGTGTAACGCACTAGATAAAGAGGATGAGGGCAAGCACCATACACAGCTTCAAGAGTAGGCTGATGTTGGTGAGGGGCTCTTGATTTAGGGAATTGGATCTGTGCTCCAGTTCCCCGAATTAAGCCTGAATGCCTTCCACATCCCCCCAGGCGCTGTATAATCCTCCGGGTTTAGCGCTTCCCCTTGATTATAATAATAATAATAATTCAAGAGTAGGTATGATTGAGCCATGCAGGCTATGATTCAGTCAAGATAATTGATGAGAGTTCAGAGGCTGGTTCAGGGGCTATACCTGAAGAGGGTTTCGGGGGTCAGCGCCCCCGCGGCCCGGTCTGTGACCAAGCCTCGCTGTGGTTTAACCCCTGCACACAGACACACACAGATGGTATATGTTATGAAGTACTTTTTCAGCCTCAGGGTAGTTGCACAGGAGAACGAACTGGATGAAGTTGAAGGGAATTCCATTCACAATTTTCAAAGAGAATGATAAGCCCTATAAGGCGGGCTCAGGAGCTAGGAACTAACCTCCACAAACACCAATTCGTGCCTCATTTGTTTGCCTTGAAAGCAATCACGATTTAATCCTACGTAATAAAAAAATACAGAACAGTTTATTTGTCTTCCCGTGACATAGCAACAGCACATACATTTTTTCCAGAGATTTGTTGACAGGCAAACAAACATCTGATATAACATCAATCGTATATATGTGTATATATTTTTTAAGTTAATATATAAGCACAGGTGTTTTGGTTAGGTATATAGGTCACCTTGGCCATCCATCAAGGCAGAGGAGACTTGAAATTGACATTCTGTACACGCAGGATGACGTGTTAGTGGTGGGAGCAGCACTTGCCCTAGTGATGGAATTAATCACTACAGTACCCACCCACCCACCAACCTTACCTTCCCTGCCACCCAACCACCCTTCCTTCCCTGCCACCCACCCACCCCGCTACCCACCTTAATCTCTCTTCCGTCAACCCTTTCCCTATCTTCCCCTCCCCCTCGCTTGTCCCCTTCATTCTATCCTTGCATATCCTATCCATTCTTCTATCGCCTATCCCCTCCATTCTTTTATCCTTGCCTATCTCCACCATTCTATACTCGCCTCTCCCCCTCCATTCTTCTGTCCTCGCCTATCCCCTCCACTCTTCTATCCTCCCCATACCCTCCATTATTCCATCCTCACCTGTCCCCCTCCATTCTTCTATCCTCGCCTGTCCCTCTTCACTTTTTATCCTCGCCTATCCCTCTTCATTTTTTATCCTCGTCTATTCCCCTCCATTCTTCTATCCTCGCCCATACCCCACCCACTCTTCTATCCCCACCTATCCCAGTACCCCAATCCTCACCACCTGATACAGCCTGCAGCAGGAATAAATGCTGCTGCTGCTGCTGCTGTTGTTGCTGTTTTTCATTCAACCTTCTGCTGTTATTTGTTATTGCTCCCACCTTCCTCTGCCCCTCCCCGTGACCCCACCCTTCTTTCAGTCTGACTACCCACCCTTTTCCCTCCCCCTCTCCTCTCTGCCCACTCTCTCCTCACTCCTCTCTCTCTCTCCCCCGAGGCAGGATAACAGCTTTTAGCCTGTAAATGAGGGTAGAACTGTAGATAAGATAGTGCCGTATGACCACTGTGGGTTTAGCGCTTCCCGTTTATTATTATTGAAACTGAAATGTTTATTTCTTTGTAAAGTTTATAATGTGTGGTTTACATATTGTAAAATATTAATTACAAGGAAGGCCACTAGCAGGCCTAGGCATTTCTGGCAGACTGTTACTAATTCTTACTCTAT